TTTTTCTCCTTACAGATAATATCTTATTAGTAATTACATAAAATTGGAAAAGCCTGTTTGTATTTCAGACCATTTTAAGTACTTAAAATTAATAACTTTGGCAACATGTTGGTAGCCAAACGTGTTCAGATATTTTTAGTGTTGCTAAAGGCAAAGGTGATTTTTTTTTAAACTTTTCTAATCAATGTTGAAAATTTAAAAAACTACAACGAACAATTTAACTGAGAATGTTTGACACTGACACAAAGATGTATTTGCTCATAATTGCACTTCCACCAGTGTGATCCTAAAGTATTGCTAAAATTGTGATCCTGATCATTAATTCTGCCTAATAGAGCATCCAGAAATAGTCCTTCCCCCCTGCAGGCTTCTCTGTCGAATGAAGCCGGGCCGCCTGCCGTCCTTGCTCTGAGGGAGCGTGGTAATACCTGAGGAGACGGTGGGGGAGCTGCTGGGGTAAAAGGTCACCATATCCTCCCCCCGCCAGGAGCCTGAAGCCATATGAAGAGGCTGTATATGCGCTTAGAAGTCAGGTGCTGGTTAAAATGTCAACTCATCGCTCACATAAAAGCCGCGCTTAAAACGCCAGAGTAACATCTTTCTGTTCAAAATGTCACAGAGTGACTGACATGAAAGCGCCGACCGTCGTCTCTGATGTCCAGTTTGACTGAAGCATCTCTGGCTGTTTGAAGTCTCTGGAGTTTCCACCAATTATTGCAATAAAACCAAACGGAAAACAAAAAGAAAATGTGTTCTTCCATGAGGACAGGTATCCCCACAGCATGGTCTCACTTCCTCTGTGTGTCCTCTACATGGTTTGTATCAAACTGCAAATCGACTCTCATGAAGGCCAGATTTGGTCGGTGCATGACTGGTAGACTTTCCCGTCTTACCTAAATGTTTCTGCAGCTCCTAAAGCTAATTGGTTACTGGATTTTATTTAGGGGGAATCAGAGTAACGGAATCTGAATCGACTTTAAGATTTTAATTTTTAAAATGTGTTTTGTTGGTCTGCCACATAAAGCACAGCCCAAAAAACACCCAGCTGTGTTTTTTTTTGGCAATAACTTAAAGTTTTTTGGTGTCTGAAAAATGAACATTCTGAATGTTAAGTCACATTCAACAAACTTCGTTACCTAGCAACCCCAGCCCGTTGCCTAGCAACGCAACCAAATCTCCAGCATGTTTGTTTAGCTGGTTTTATACGCTGTACAATGGCTGCTGGAAAAAACAAAAGTGTTTTGTTGTTGACTTACCATCCAGAAACCTCTTGTTGCATTACTTTTGGTTGTGTAGGAGGCTCCACTTCTGCTTTTCAAAGATGTGCAGTGTAAACATTGAGTTGGGGGCGTGGCCAGCAGCAGCTTATTTGGATTTAAAGTGACAGGACACCCTAAAACAACTCAAAATAGGCAGAATTGAAATGTCGTTATCTAAGAACAATTTAGTGGAAAAAAAAAAAAAAGTAATGGACGTGTTTTGTATTGCCCATATACCTATCTTCACCTTTATGGGTTATCAGTACGTCTGCGAAGTACCGGATACAGATTAACCTTGAGATGAAGGATCCCAGCCCACTGGCACCATTCGGTTTTACTGTTAGCGTTAGCTTACGGTTGGGAGTGATTGACAGAACTGGCTGTTTCCCCTCGCAGCAGGCTTCATGCCCGAGCTGAGTCCCAAGACGCTGCTGATGATGCACCATAGCAGGGTTCGGCGTTGACACGTGTTCGTCCCAAATGGTGAAGATGCGTACGTGTGTGTGCATACACTCTGCTGTGGCACCGCTGAGCATCTCAGGAAGATGTGGACGGCGTCGGCAGCTCCGTTGGTTTACTGCCACCTCTCAGTTTGGGTGTATTTTTGGTTGGCTTGTGCCCTGAAGGTTGCTCTCCTTGGAGGGAAGAATCTGAATGTCCCCTGTTGAGCAGCGCCTGCAGGAACGATCAGTTTCAAACTGATGCTTTCTGAACTCAGAGGACTTTACCTCCAGGAAAAAAGGCTTTTAAAAATACCCCTCACTCTCCCTTCCTTTTAAACACAAACATACAGCTGCACAGTTCCCGCTTTGCATGCAGGTAGTCACCAGCCAGTCATCTGAACCTCCTGAACCGTCAGAGCTGGGAACTCTTAAAGCTTTTCTGTAAGTTCCTGATGATGGAAAACTAGAATGCATTCCTTTGTTATTCTAATGAACAATCTTCTTCTCTTTCTTTTTAGAGTTTGGGCTCCGCAGACCGAAAAGAAAACCAGCAGAAGAGGTAAGTCTCTTTAATTTAACCGCCTCTTCATCAGGGATTCATAATGAACGGCTGTTTGTCTGCATGCAGTTCAGTAGTAGCTGGTTAAATTTACATTTACTTGAAAAACATTTTCCCCTTCTGGAATATTTTTACCACACTGTACTTTTTACTTTTACTTGGGTAATTTTATTATGAAGTATTTCTAAAATTTCTGGATTTTCTCCGTACTGGATGAAAAACAAATCAAAACTTCACAGTTAAAGTTTCATCAGTTTTATATTGAAAGAAACAGATTTGGAAAAATTTCCTTTTGCTTGATTTTGTTATTTTGTTTTTATTTATATGCATAATTTTCATTTTGGTCCAATTTTTAAATATCAAATGATTAATAATTTGATGAGTTATCAGAACTTGAGTCGACGTTTCACCAAATACTTTCTTACTCCTGAGTAACTTTTTACTTTTACTTGAGTAAACCTTTTGGCTGCTCTCCCCACCAGGTTAGAAAATCCAGTTATTAGAAATAACTCGTCATTATTGATGCACCTCATTGCAGCCGTTTTCCGTCTGTTTTCTGGATGTTGTAATTAAAGTCTGTATTGAGCTCAGTGCTTTTATTCTGCTCTGTTCCTTTAAGCTGCTCACTTGAAACTTTGACCTTATTCCTCTGTGTGCAAATGTAATCAAATTTCCATGTTTGTGTGTGTTTGAAACACAAGTTGGATTATGAGCCATAATCCAGTCTGCAGCGGTAATTCCTCTCCGGCATTCTGGTTTTCACAGCGCTCCACTATGTGGACTGACAGGAACCACAAAAATAAATAAAAATGAAAATGATGTTTGAACTCATAAAAGAATTATGTAAGTCTGCTAATTCTGAACTGGAAGCATGTCTGCATACGACTGCACACTTAATGAACACAAACGGGTCCACTTTTAGATTCACGTTTGTTTACCAGTAAAGTAAATCAACATCTTTGCACGAAATGCATGACTCTGCATGTATTTCTTTTCAAGTTTAGTTTTATTCTGAAAAGAAATAAAACCAAATCTGGCAGAACTACCAGATTTGGATCCAAGTGAACCAAATCAATAAATTGAAATTTCACCAAAAAGTTGTTTTATGTGAACTTTTTAAAACCTAACATGTCACACTCATTTCACAGAGAAATTTTAAACCTTGTGTTTATTTTGATGGTTATGAGACAACCATCAGCTGTGTTTTTTTTTTTTACAGCTGATAAAAAACAAAACAAAACACAAATTCAGTTTCATTTGGAATATTAAAAAGTTTGTCCACAACTTAAAACATGAACTCAGATAATCCTCATAAGGCTTTGGTTATGTTATCCCTGTTACAACTGGCCACAGTTTTTTCTTTTGGTAAAGTTTCTTGTGCAAATATCTTAGTTTTGTCTTTTCCAAGTTTACCAACTTATAAGTCATTTTTCAGCAAGACATACACACTTGTTTTAAGTAAATAATTCCTAAACGTTGATGAAAAAGTTCTAGTTCAGATACATTATCTTACGGGAAAAGTGAAATAATCTGCCAGTGGAACTAGAACTTTGATCAATATTAAGGAATTATTTACTTAAACCTCTTCATCTCGCTACAAAGCTTTAAGTTAGTTTATCTTGTGTCAGGTGTACTAAGACATTTGTACTGGAAACTAAACCAAAAATACTTGGTCACATTTTGTGTTTTTGCAGTGATTATGCACAGAAGAGAAATATCTTGTTTATTTATTAAACTCTTTTAAGCCAAATTTTATTTGATTAAATCAGTTTGATGATTTTAACTCACTGATTTTCTTTAAAAGAGTTTCTTTTCCTCCCATCTTCCTTCCGTTTCTGGTCAAGTTCAGCCAGGTTTGCATGAGCACATAATGCACCTCGACGTTTCTGAGTTTATTATGTGTCATTTTTAAGTTAAACACAAAAAGCCGCCTTGCAATCGAGCTCAATCTGTTGATGCATTGAGTAAAAATGTGACGGTGCGAGCCGTGTTTATCTGGTCTCCGGGTTACGTTCGGTGTGCCTGGATGTGATGTGGAGGCTGTCGACCGGTGCGCTCCGTTCTGTATGAAGACGCCTCAGGATGAGGCATGAGTATCGTTTTCTGGCACAGTGAGCGCTCGGTGTGCCGGAGTCAGAGACATCTGTTGCCAGGAGACAAGCAGCCATGGTGGAGAAAATGACAAGTAAGAGGAGCGTGGCTGGGAATAAATGAGATGTTCACGCCACTACATACCGACTTAAAATGGCACGATCATGTGAGAGCGAGGGCATGAGCACAGCCCTACTATAGAGAGTAATATGTGAGTACATATTCACGTGTTTACTTGGCGTCAGAAAGGAGAATCAACGAGGCTTGGCTGGAGTTTACGTTACGCATGTCAACATCAGGAACATTATTCACTTAAAGCTGGATATCTTAGTATGACATCAACACGCATCGTTCAGACAGGGCGCCACGTATTATCTGCCTTTCTACTATTTTTAGAGTCAAAAACACGTCAACAGTTGAAACATGAATAAATCCTAATCTGCTTTTCCATTGTTTTAAGATTAGTAATCTTAAAACAATTTTACAGCACAGAAAACGCCTCTAGAGTGTCGTGATCTGTGTTTCTGTGTGTTTATTTTTGAGTTCTTCTGTGTTCAGTCCTGTGTAGTCCTGTGTTCAGTCCTGTGTAGTCCTGTTCCCTGAGTCTCTGTCCTCCCTGTTGATTGCTCCCCAGGTGTGTCGTATCCCCCTGATTACCCTGTGTGTATTTAGCCCCACCTGTTGTCTGTGTTCGTTGTTAGATCCTCGTCATTTGTAACTGTTTCCCTGTGCCGTCGTGTCCCACCCTCGTCTAAGTCTGTTTTCCTGTGGACTCTGAATCATTAAATTCATCATTTTCACCTTCATCCTGGCTGCCTGCGTCTCATCTCACCTCACCAAACCCCGAACCATGACATAGAGCCCTGCGTCTGGCTGACGGAGTATCTGAAAGCTGCAGGGTGACGACATGACGGCGAACTGCTGAGGTGACAGGAGGGTTTGTTCAGGGAAACGGGAAGTTTTAGGTAAAATGTTCCACCTTATAAATCAGAGTCATGTTTTTGTCATGAAGTGTGTTTGTTGGTGGTGAGGATAGATGTGGAGGACCCAGGTTAAAGTGAGAGAATGATGGTTTTAATGGTCCAGGCAGCACAGGTGAGCACTGGGAGCACTGGGAGCACTGGGAAACTGGCCCAACACAGGAACGGGGCAGACACAGGGACAAGCAACGGTAGAGGAGGATTGACGGGGAGCAGGGAGCACAGGTGGGATTAAATACCCAAAGGGAAATCAGGGGAAACAGCTGGGAACAATCACGGATTAGACGCGACATATTGACCAATAAACACACAGAAAACCAAATGCTCACGGTGCTGTGTGGTTGAAGCAGGGTCAAAGTTCAGGCAGGAGCTTCGGATTCACAGGATGAACATTTAAAGAGAATTTATTATGCAAAACTTACATTTTACGACTTTTTGTTCTTCAATTTGGGTCACAACTGCTTCTAAAAACAACCAAGACGCTTTAAAGAAAAACATTTTTTGACAATAACTTAATGTTTTTTGGAGTCCAGTAAATGAACCGTTTCCTAAACTTCCCAATGTTAAGTCACATTTGACAGGCACTGCGCCGTTACCTAGCAACCAAAACTGAGCCCAGTCCTGTTACCTAGCAACCAGAATTGAGCCCAGTCCTGTTACCTAGCAACCAGAACAGAGCTCCAGCACATTTGATCAGCTGTACAATGGCAGCTGGAAAAGACACGTTTTGTTATTGACTTGCCATCCAAAAACCACCTGCTGTATTCTTCTTCATTGTGCTGGAGGCTCCACTTATGCTTTTCTAATATGTGCATCTGCAGGTAGACATTTTCACATGCAAGTGTAAACATTGAGTTGGGGGCGTGGCCAGCAGCAGCTTATTTGCATTTAAAGTGACAGGGGTCTTCAGAAGAAAAACAAAACATTTATACAGCTGTGAAGTTAAACCCTTAAAACAAAAACACCAAGTCATTGTGTGTGACCAAGTGAGACTTTCAGCTGCTTCCGTTCACTGCCTTTATGTTTTACACACCGACTGTGTTTACTCATCACAGTGAGACGAGTTTGAATTTCAGGAACCGTGCGACAAAACTTCAGTTGGCTTTGAATTTGTGGCATTTTACTTTAACAGTTATTATACCTTGGAACAGAAAACCAGATCATGCAAAAGATGAAGTTCAGACTTCCTGAGTGGCTTTTAAAAACTAACTTTTTAGGGTTAAGTAATGAAATTGTTGAACTCCAGTTGTCTGTAAATCCATTCTATAAAGTAAAAGTCAGTCATTTGGGCTCATTTCGTCCCTCTACATTTTGCAAACACACTTTACTTTTGCACCATGTTGTTTTTCTGTTTTATAGCTGAAACCTTCTTGAACGTTCCAGTTTTTTCTCATTAAAGTTTCTGTTACTTAGAGCATGTTGTTAGTTTACCGTCATGTTTTCGTATGACTGAATCATTTTTCCCTCTCAGCAGTAGCTGCTTGTTGCTGTGGTTACCAGTGACACATAAACCAAAGGCCTCCACAATAATCCATGCTATAATGTTCGTGACATCACCGATTCTGTGATATTTTATTCAGTCTGTAGCCAACAGAGGCTTTGACTAGTCAACCACAGCGGTTGAGCTGCTCTGTTTTTCTCTCTTTTTTTCTTACTTTTCAGCTTTAATTAGAAACAAGCAGAGCGATAAACTCTGAATCCAAGTAGGCAGAGATGCAGATGGAGGACCCACCGCATCAACACACACAGAGAAATAGTTGAATCTAGAAATGAGATAATAGGGATTTCTTACTGTTCCCACTGTCTGATTAGTAACACATTTTTTCATTTCCCAGCTTTCATCTCGTTTCTTTTCCAGATTTCTGAGATCTCAGTGTAAACAAACATCGAGGAGTATTTACAATAGTGGTAATAGCGGTAGCAGAGGGA